CTAAATTGCTTAACATTAAAAAGTTTCCTTACTGACTTTAATTGGGGAATTAGTTCTACATTAAAATCATGAATGCTCAATAACACTAATAAACAATTAAAACTCAAGACCTTATTTATATCAATATGTTCAATAAAAACAAAGTTGACTACAAGCGTAATACCTTTTTCTGGTGAATCAGCAGTCGCAGAAGCTGAGGGAGCATTAGGCATTGGAGCAACTTCGAAGACTTTTCTGTAGACATGTTATAGGTTTGATTATACAAACACCACAGACCCACTACAGGATTATTTGAGTACAAGATCTTGTTCAAATTATATCAAACTTTAGGACTCTATTGATAAACACAAAATTTGTGGGTTGCTATATTCACTGGACTGCTAAAGGAGAAGATTATTATCGTTGAAGGGTTGAAGAAATGGAAACTGTCCTTGAGAAAAAAAGCCTAATCCTTGTTAGGTAGCAGGCTTGATGGAATATCTTAATTGCTAAAACCCATCAATGCAAAAACCTTATGGATAAAATCATCATGGAATAAAAGCAAGTACCTGGTTGGAAGAGTTCCCTTGACAGAGATGTATTTTTTCCAATACTGTGAAGTTGACTTGTGAGTAGCCTTCTTGGTACCTCCTTTATAAGCCCTAACCATGAATTCCTCACTTCTTTCTCTGCAAATACATTTCTTTAGTCAAAATGTGTGCCCAGAATTGCTATATTTTAGACAAACACAGAGAGCATTTTTAAGGAAAAAGACAAATCATTAAGGACTTACATTTGCTCAAAGTTTGATAACCACTTAAGATAGGCTGCACCAAGATATACATTCACAAAAGGCTTGTATAGAAGTTTTGAATCCCCGTCCAATCCATAGATCTGGTAAGACAAATCTCTGCAGAAAGGTCCATTAACTCGTTTTTATCAAGCTACAAATGAACAAATGGAATCCTCAAAAGAGGTATATTGTCTCAACAAAAATCAAAGATTAAAAAAAAATATACATATATATATATATATGTATGTATACCTGACCAGCCACTCCGCAGTTTTTACTGAGATTTGCATGATTCCCATCATGCAATCTTTAGATTTCTTGTTATACTGTGTGGCCAGAGTCTGTCTACCACTTTCAAGTTCAGCAATAGCACAAAGCATGTCCTATAGAATACGAGAATCATATGTCACTTAGAAACATCAATAATAATAGTACCAATTCAACCTTAAACCATAAGTCACGTTAAAATTCTATCACCCACACAAACCATGCCGTTTAAATTCTTTTTTTTTAAATGATTTGTGACATTTGCTGTGATCCAAGCAGTGCTATTTAATCTACAAGTAGAATAACATACCGAATCAATCTGTGAGACGAAATGCCTTCGGACAATAATTCCTGCCACAGCCTGAAAAAAGAAAGAATCTTGATCTTAAACCATATTTAATTGCAGAGAAAAATGTATACTTGTGGAGGCTGCCTAGCATTGACGAGAAATTGACAGTTGCTGGAGTATCATAATTCCTAGAAGCCGATATAGAGCAATTCACTGTAATACCACTCTTCAAGTAATTGACATTGCTGGATTTTCATTTTTTCAATTCTAATGTCCAACAAGAACTTAAATTAGGTGCTGTGCTGGTAAAATAACTGTAGAAATTTATTCACTTCACCTTCATCTCAGTTTGCGTCAAGTAAGGCTGACCATCAGGATCACGTGAGAGGTGAACCTTTGATCCCATAGTCTCTCCAACATTAAGCCATTCTGCTCTCACGTCAGGATCCTTCCACATTGCCTCCAAGTCTTGAGGATCCACACAATCATTCCAGTATTTGAAACTAATGGTCGCCATCCCTGTGAATGCACTAAATGCTCCCCATGTCATCCAAAAGCGGGGTAGCCAGTACTAATGCAGACTATTAGTTACCAGGAAATATGTAAATTGATGCGAGCATGAAAAATACAAAAATCAGTATTTATTCGCACAACTTACTTACACGGTCAGAGGAAATTATGGTTCCTAATTCTAACTGAGAACCAAGGTTTCGTTCAGTAATTCATGTACTGATGACTGAAGTTCTTAATTGCAGTGGTAAAGAAGTTGAAAAATTACAAAATATAACTGTAGACAAAAACATAAATTCCAAAAGCTGAGCTTTGATCAGGAGGAGCTACATGACCGATCCGGAGGAAAAACTTAACACAATTCAGGAACATAATGGAGACTTGGGCGAATGAAGCTTAAAATTAACTGACATGTAATTTATGGTTTAGCAATGACCCCATTGGGAGGGACGGAAAGCATTTATGAAGCAATTTGAAGACCACGTCCCAAAACTTTAACATAGTATCTAAACAATAGATAGTCGACTACAAATGCTCAACCCCAAAAGATATGTAACTTTTAAAATGACAAAATTACAGATCATCTACAAGTAGCAAGGTTATGTAATTGGAACAGGAGCACTTTTCTTATGATTCTGGCAAACTATTAAAAAAATGCTCCAGGACCATTACAACACACCACAATTAAACATGTTTGGGAAGTGTTTATAAGC